GTCCCTGGTGGTGGTGGTCCCCTGGTGGTGGTCCCTAGTGGTGGTGGTCCCTGGTGGTGGTCCCTGGTGGTGGTCCCTGGTGGTGGTGGTCCCTGGTGGTGGTCCCTGGTGGTGGTGGTCCCTGGTGGTGGTCCCTGGTGGTGGTGGTCCCTGGTAGTGGTGGTCCCTGGTGGTGGTCCCCTGGTGGTGGTCCCTGGTGGTGGTCCCCTGGCGGTGGTCTCCTGGTGGTGGTCCCCTGGTGGTGGTGGTCCCCTGGTGGTGGTCCCTGGTGGTGGTGGTCCCTGGTGGTGGTGGTCCCCTGGTGGTGGTCCCTGGTGGTGGTCCCTGGTGGTGGTCCCCTGGTGGTGGTCCCTGGTGGTGGTGGTCCCTGGTGGTGGTGGTCCCCTGGTGGTGGTCCCTGGTGGTGGTCCCCTGGTGGTGGTCCCTGGTGGTGGTCCCTGGTGGTGGTCCCTGGTGGTGGTGGTCCCTGGTGGTGGTCCCTGGTGGTGGTCCCCTGGTGGTGGTGGTGGTCCCTGGTGGTGGTCCCTGGTGGTGGTCCCTGGTGGTGGTGGTCCCCTGGTGGTGGTCCCTGGTGGTGGTCCCCTGGTGGTGGTGGTCCCTGGTGGTGGTCCCTGGTGGTGGTGGCCCTGGTGGTGGTCCCTGGTGGTGGTGGTCCCCTGGTGGTGGTCCCTGGTGGTGGTGGTCCCTGGTGGTGGTCCCTGGTGGTGGTCCCTGGTGGTTGTCCCCTGGTGGTGGTCCCTGGTGGTGGTCCCTGGTGGTGGTCCCTGGTGGTGGTCCCTGGTGGTGGTCCCCTGGTGGTGGTCCCTGGTGGTGGTCCCTGGTGGTGGTCCCTGGTGGTGGTGGTCCCCTGGTGGTGGTCCCTGGTGGTGGTGGTCCCTGGTGGTGGTCCCTGGTGGTGGTGGTGGTGGTGGTCCCTGGTGGTGGTCCCCTGGTGGTGGTCCCCTGGTGGTGGTGGTCCCCTGGTGGTGGTCCCTGTTGGTGGTCCCTGGTGGTGGTCCCCTGGTGGTGGTGGTGGTGGTGGTCCCTGGTGGTGGTGGTCCCTGGTGGTGGTCCCCTGGTGGTGGTCCCTGGTGGTGGTCCCCTGGCGGTGGTCTCCTGGTGGTGGTGGTCCCCTGGTGGTGGTCCCTGGTGGTGGTGGTCCCTGGTGGTGGTGGTCCCTGGTGGTGGTGGTCCCTGGTGGCGGTGGTCCCCTGGTGGTGGTGGTCCCCTGGTGGTGGTGGTGGTCCCTGGTGGTGGTGGTCCCTGGTGGTGGTCCCTGGTGGTTGGTCCCTGGTGGTGGTCCCTGGTGGTGGTCCCTGGTGGTGGTCCCTGGTGGTGGTCCCCTGGTGGTGGTCCCTGGTGGTGGTGGTCCCCTGGTGGTGGTCCCTGGTGGTGGTGGTCCCTGGTGGTGGTGGTCCCTGGTAGTGGTGGTCCCTGGTAGTGGTGGGCCCTGGTAGTGGTGGTCCCTGGTAGTGGTGGTCCCTGGTGGTGGTGGTCCCCTGGTGGTGGTGGTCCCCTGGTGGTGGTGGTCCCTGGTGGTGGTGGTCCCTGGTGGTGGTGGTCCCTGGTGGTGGTCCCCTGGTGGTGGTGGTCCCCTGGTGGTGGTCCCTGGTGGTGGTGGTCCCTGGTGGTGGTGGTCCCCTGGTGGTGGTCCCCTGGTGGTGGTCCCCTGGTGGTGGTGGTGGTCCCTGGTGGTGGTCCCTGGTGGTGGTGGTCCCTGGTGGTGGTGGTCCCCTGGTGGTGGTCCCCTGGTGGTGGTCCCCTGGTGGTGGTCCCCTGGTGGTGATCCCTGGTGGAGGTCCCTGGTGGTGGTCCCTGGTGGTGGTCTCCTGGTGGTGGTCCCTGGTCCCCACTCCCACAGCTGGTGGCCCAAGATGAGACGCCCACTCCCACAGCTGGTGGCCCAAGATGAGACGCCCACTCCCACAGCTGGTGGCCCAAGATGAGACGCCCCACTCCCACAGCTGGTGGCCCAAGATGAGACGCCCCACTCCCACAGCTGGTGGCCCAAGATGAGACGCCCCGCTCCCACAGCTGGTGGCCCCAGATGAGACGCCCCGCTCCCACAGCTGGTGGTCCAAGATGAGACGCCCCACTCCCACAGCTGGTGGCCCAAGATGAGACACCCCACTCCCACAGCTGGTGGCCCAAGATGAGACGCCCCACTCCCACAGCTGGTGGCCCAAGATGAGACGCCCCGCTCCCACAGCTGGTTGTCCAAGATGAGACGCCCCGCTCCCACAGCTGGTGGCCCAAGATGAGACGCCCCGCTCCCACAGCTGGTGGCCCAAGATGAGACGCCCCGCTCCCACAGCTGGTGGCCCAAGATGAGACGCCCCACTCCCACAGCTGGTGGCCCAAGATGAGACGCCCCACTCCCAAAGCTGGTGGCCCAAGATGAGACGCCCCACTCCCACACCTGGTGGTCCAAGACGAGACGCCCCACTCCCACAGCTGGTCGCCCAAGATGAGACGCCCCACTCCCACAGCTGGTGGCCCAAGATGAGACGCCCCACTTCCACAGCTGGTGGCCCAGATGAGACGCCCCGCTCCCACAGCTAGTGGCCCAAGATGAGACTCCCCACTCCCACAGCTGGTGGCCCAAGATGAGACGCCCCACTACCACAGCTGGTGGCCCAAGATGAGACGCCCCACTCCCACAGCTGGTGGCCCAAGATGAGACGCCCCACTCCCACAGCTGGTGGCCCAAGATGAGACGCCCCACTCCCACAGCTGGTGGCCCAAGATGAGACGCCCCAGTCCCACAGCTGGTGGCCCAAGATGAGACGCCCCACTCCCACAGCTGATGGCCCATGATGAGATGCCCCACTCCCACAGCTAATGGCCCAAGATGAGACGCCCCACTCCCACAGCTGGTGGCCCAAGATGAGACGCCCCGCTCCCACAGCTGGTGGCCCAAGATGAGACGCCCCACTCCCACAGCTGGTGGCCCAAGATGAGACGCCCCACTCCCACAGCTGGTGGCCCAAGATGAGACGCCCCACTACCACAGCTGGTGGCCCAAGATGAGACGCCCCGCTCCCACAGCTGGTGGCCCAAGATGAGACGCCCCGCTCCCACAGCTGGTGGCCCAAGAAGAGACGCCCCACTCCCACAGCTGGTGGCCCAAGATGAGACGCCCCACTCCCACAGCTGGTGGCCCAAGATGAGACGCCCCACTCCCACACCTGGTGGTCCAAGATGAGACGCCCCACTCCCACAGCTGGTGGCCCAAGATGAGACGCCCCACTCCCACAGCTGGTGGTCCAAGATGAGACGCCCCACTCCCACAGCTGGTGGCCCAAGATGAGACGCCCCACTCCCACAGCTGGTGGCCCAAGATGAGACGCCCCACTCCCACAGCTGGTGGCCCAAGATGAGACGCCCCACTCCCACAGCTGGTGGCCCAAGATGAGACGCCCCACTCCCACAGCTGGTGGCCCAAGATGAGACGCCCCACTCCCACAGCTGGTGGCCCAAGATGAGACGCCCCACTCCCACAGCTGGTGGCCCAAGATGAGACGCCCCACTCCCACACCTGGTGGTCCAAGATGAGACGCCCCACTCCCACAGCTGGTGGTCCAAGATGAGACGCCCCACTCCCACAGCTGGTGGCCCAAGATGAGACGCCCCACTCCCACAGCTGGTGGCCCAAGATGAGACGCCCCACTCCCACAGCTGGTGGCCCAAGATGAGACGCCCCACTCCCACAGCTGGTGGCCCAAGATGAGACGCCCCACTCCCACAGCTGGTGGCCCAAGATGAGACGCCCCACTCCCACAGCTGGTGGCCCAAGATGAGACGCCCCACTCCCACAGCTGGTGGCCCAAGATGAGACGCCCCACTCCCACAGCCGGTGGCCCAAGATGAGACGCCCCACTCCCACACCTGGTGGTCCAAGATGAGACGCCCCACTCCCACAGCTGGTGGCTCAAGATGAGACGCCCCACTCCCACAGCTGGTGGCCCAAGATGAGACGCCCCGCTCCCACAGCTGGTGGCCCAAGATGAGACTCCCCGCTCCCACAGCTGGTGGCCCAAGATGAGACGCCCCACTCCCACAGCTGGTGGCCCAAGATGAGACGCCCCACTCCCACAGCTGGTGGCCCAAGATGAGACACCCCGCTCCCACAGCTGGTGGCCCAAGATGAGACACCCCGCTCCCACAGCTGGTGGCCCAAGATGAGACGCCCCACTCCCACAGCTGGTGGCCCAAGATGAGACGCCCCACTCCCACAGCTGGTGGCCCAAGATGAGACGCCCCGCTCCCACAGCTGGTGGCCCAAGATAAGACGCCCCACTCCCACAGCTGGTGGCCCAAGATGAGACGCCCACTCCCACAGCTGGTGGCCCAAGATGAGACGCCCCACTCCCACAGCTGGTGGCCCAAGATGAGACACCCCGCTCCCACAGCTGGTGGCCCAAGATGAGACGCCCCACTCCCACAGCTGGTGGCCCAAGATGAGACGCCCCACTCCCACAGCTGGTGGCCCAAGATGAGACGCCCCGCTCCCACAGCTGGTGGCCCAAGATGAGACGCCCCGCTCCCACAGCTGGTGGCCCAAGATGAGACACCCCGCTCCCACAGCTGGTGGCCCAAGATGAGACGCCCCACTCCCACAGCTGGTGGCCCAAGATGAGACGCCCCACTCCCACAGCTGGTGGCCCAAGATGAGACGCCCCACTCCCACAGCTGGTGGCCCAAGATGAGACGCCCCGCTCCCACAGCTGGTGGCCCAAGATAAGACTGGAGGTCCACCAAGCCCCCTCAATACATAATAGTGTCAGCAAGGCGGACAGTCCGCCTCATATTATAACTTATTCTATATTTCACATTCCTACAACTTGAAATTTTCCTGAACGTCTATGTTTGCGTGCGTGCGTGCGCATGTGCATGCATGCGTGCATGATGTGCGTGTGTGTGTGTGTGCGTGCGGGCGTGTCATCACTGATGTTTTACGGTATTGGAAAGATCATAAGTTGTGTCCGCCTCGCCCCGGGCTCTGGGTAGCCGCAGGCAGATTATACGGTACACCAGGTGCTTGCTGGGGGCACGGCAGGTGCTGGGGGCACGGCAGGTGCTTGGTGGGGGCACGGCAGGTGCTTGGTGGGGGCACGGCAGGTGCTTGGTGGGGGCACGGCAGGTGCTGGGGGCACGGCAGGTGCTGGGGGCACGGCAGGTGCTTGCTGGGGGCACAGCAGGTGGTGGGGGCACGGCAGGTGCTTGGTGGGGGCACGGCAGGTGCTGGGGGCACGGCAGGTGCTGGGGGCACGGCAGGTGCTTGCTGGGGGCACAGCAGGTGCTTGGTGGGGGCACGGCAGGTGCTGGGGGCACGGCAGGTGCTGGGGGCACGACAGGTGCTTGCTGGGGGCACGGCAGGTGCTGGGGGCACGACAGGTGCTTGGTGGGGGCACGGCAGGTGCTGGGGGCACGGCAGGTGCTGGGGGCACGACAGGTGCTTGCTGGGGGCACGACAGGTGCTTGCTGGGGGCACGGCAGGTGCTTGCTGGGGGCACGGCAGGTGCTTGGTGGGGGCACGGCAGGTGCTTGGTGGGGGCACGGCAGGTGCTGGGGGCACGACAGGTGCTTGCTGGGGGCACGACAGGTGCTTGCTGGGGGCACGGCAGGTGCTGGGGGCACGGCAGGTGCTGGGGGCACGACAGGTGCTTGCTGGGGGCACGGCAGGTGCTGGGGCACGGCAGGTGCTGGGGGCACGGCAGGTGCTTGGTGGGGGCACGGCAGGTGCTGGGGGCACGGCAGGTGCTTGGTGGGGGCACGGCAGGTGCTGGGGGCACGGCAGGTGCTGGGGGCACGGCAGGTGCTGGGGGCACGGCAGTTGCTTGCTGGGGGCACAGCAGGTGGTGGGGGCACGGCAGGTGCTTGGTGGGGGCACGGCAGGTGCTGGGGGCACGGCAGGTGCTGGGGGCACGGCAGGTGCTTGCTGGGGGCACAGCAGGTGCTGGGGGCACGGCAGGTGCTTGGTGGGGGCACGGCAGGTGCTGGGGGCACGGCAGGTGCTGGGGGCACGACAGGTGCTTAGTGGGGGCACGGCAGGTGCTGGGGGCACGGCAGGTGCTGGGGGCACGACAGGTGCTTGCTGGGGGCACGACAGGTGCTTGCTGGGGGCACGGCAGGTGCTTGCTGGGGGCACGGCAGGTGCTTGGTGGGGGCACGGCAGGTGCTTGCTGGGGCACGGCAGGTGCTTGCTGGGGGCACGGCAGGTGCTTGCTGGGGGCACGGCAGGTGCTTGCTGGGGGCACGGCAGGTGCTTGCTGGGGGCACGGCAGGTGCTTGGTGGGGGCACGGCAGGTGCTTGCTGGGGGCACGGCAGGTGCTGGGGGCACGGCAGGTGCTTGGTGGGGGCACGGCAGGTGCTGGGGGCACGACAGGTGCTGGGGGCACGGCAGGTGCTGGGGGCACGGCAGGTGCTGGGGGCACGGCAGGTGCTTGCTGGGGGGTACACGGTAGGTGCTTGCTGGGGGGTACACGGTAGGTGCTTGCTGGGGGGTACACGGTAGGTGCTTGCTGGGGGGTACACGGCAGGTGCTTGCTGGGGGGTACACGGCAGGTGCTTGCTGGGGGGTACACGGCAGGTGCTTGCTGGGGGGTACACGGCAGGTGCTTGCTGGGGGGTACACGGTAGGTGCTTGCTGGGGGGTACACGGTAGGTGCTTGCTGGGGGGTACACGGCAGGTGCTTGCTGGGGGGTACACGGCAGGTGCTTGCTGGGGGGTACACGGCAGGTGCTTGCTGGGGGGTACACGGCAGGTGCTTGCTGGGGGGTACACGGTAGGTGCTTGCTGGGGGGTACACGGCAGGTGCTTGCTGGGGGGTACACGGTAAGTGCTTGCTGGGGGGTACACGGCAGGTGCTTGCTGGGGGGTACACGGTAGGTGCTTGCTGGGGGGTACACGGCAGGTGCTTGCTGGGGGGTACACGGCAGGTGCTTGCTGGGGGGTACACGGTAGGTGCTTGCTGGGGGGTACACGGTAGGTGCTTGCTGGAGGGTACACGGTAGGTGCTTGCTGGGGGTACACGGTAGGTGCTTGCTGGGGGGTACACGGTAGGTGCTTGCTGGGGGGTACACGGTAGGTGCTTGCTGGGGGGTACACGGTAGGTGCTTGCTGGGGGGTACACGGTAGGTGCTTGCTGGGGGGTACACGGTAGGTGCTTGCTGGGGGGTACACCAGGTGCTTGCTGGGGTGTACACCAGGTGCTTGCTGCTTGCTGGGGGGTACACGGCAGGTGCTTGCTGGGGGGTACACGGCAGGTGCTTGCTGGGGGGTACACGGTGGGTGCTTGCTGGGGGGTACACGGCAGGTGCTTGCTGGGGGGTACACGGCAGGTGCTTGCTGGGGGGTACACGGCAGGTGCTTGCTGGGGGGTACACGGTAGGTGCTTGCTGGGTGTACACGGCAGGTGCTTGCTGGGGGTACACGGCAGGTGCTTGCTGGGGGGTACACGGTAGGTGCTTGCTGGGGGGTACACGGCAGGTGCTTGCTGGGGGGTACACGGCAGGTGCTTGCTGGGGGGTACACGGTAGGTGCTTGCTGGGGGGTACACCAGGTGCTTGCTGGGGGGTACACGGTAGGTGCTTGCTGGGGGGGGTACACGGCAGGTGCTTGCTGGGGGGTACACCAGGTGCTTGTTGGGGGGTACACCAGGTGCTTGCTGGGGGGTACACGGCAGGTGCTTGCTGGGGGGTACACGGTAGATGCTTGCTGGGGGGTACACGGCAGGTGCTTGCTGGGGGGTACACGGTAGGGGCTTGCTGGGGGGTACACGGTAGGGGCTTGCTGGGGGGTACACCAGGTGCTTGCTGGGGGGTACACCAGGTGCTTGCTGGGGGTACACGGTAGGGGCTTGCTGGGGGGTACACCAGGTGCTTGCTGGGGGTACACGGTAGGGGCTTGCTGGGGGGTACACGGCAGGGGCTGGGGCTGAGTGCATGGACATATTTTCAATTTCTCTTTCAAAATCTGTCACACTCTTGTTGATATCAGTTATATTTACAGGTGTTTGGATATTACTCATAAAGAAGATATCACTCATAGAGAAGATATCACTCATAAAGGAGTTATCTGTATCTTCCACTTTCATGCTGTTTATCGGAGTGCTAAACATGCCCTCATACTGCTTTTGTTCAATAAATTGTTCAATAAATCCCTGAACTATATGTTTAACAGATCTCTAACCCTGTCCATGGAGGACAGAAGAAAATGTATATATGCTGGTTAGCATTGTAAATGTCCGGCCACGTCTGTGGTAGAAAAATAATAATAATAAAAAAAACAGTTTTTTTTAGGATTTCACTAATTTCTTTGTCATCCTCGGTGTATGAACCTTCACTAAAACGAATAAGTCCAATACTGACAGTGGTGTTTGCTTTTGCATATGTGAAGAAATATTTCGGGTTTTTCATTATTTCTTGTATTGCTTTCTGTTCTAGTTGTCTTTCTTCAGTCTGATAGGAATGTTTCAGTCTCTTGTTCGATTTCTTCAATCTCATTTTTTATGTTATTCCTTCTTTGTATGGAGAGTCGTGTCTGATTCAGCATTTCCGTTGATTTCTTCCTCCTTTTGTAGAGTCTGCGGGGTTCTCTTTGTACATTGGACCTCTTTCTGGCTTTCCTCAAAGCAACATGTTTCAGACTTGTGTGAAATATGTCACCTGTGCTAATTCATCACCCCCCTGTGCTAATTCTTCATCCCCCTGTGCTAACTTATCACCCCCCTGTGCTAACTCATCACCCCCCTGTGCTAACTCATCACCCCCTGTGCTAACTCATCACCCCCCTGTGCTAACTCATCACCCCCCCCTGTGCTAACTCATCACCCCCTGTACTAACTCATCACCCCCCCTGTGCTAACTCATCACCCCCCCTGTACTAACTCATCACCCCCCTTGTGCTAACTCATCACCCCCCTGTACTAACTCATCACCCCCTGTACTAACTCATCACCCCCTGTACTAACTCATCACCCCCTGTACTAACTCATCACCCCCTGTACTAACTCATCACCCCCTGTACTAACTCATCACCCCCCCTGTGCTAACTCATCACCCCCCCTGTGCTAACTCATCACCCCCCCTGTGCTAACTCATCACCCCCCCTGTGCTAACTCATCACCCCCCTGTGCTAACTCATCACCCCCCCTGTGCTAACTCATCACCCCCTGTGCTAACTCATCACCCCCCCTGTACTAACTCATCATCCCCCCTGTACTAACTCATCACCCCCCTGTACTAACTCATCACCCCCCCTGTGCTAACTCATCACCCCCCTGTGCTAACTCATCACCCCCCCCCTGTGCTAACTCATCACCCCCCTGTGCTAACTCATCACCCCCCTGTGCTAACTCATCACCCCCCTGTGCTAACTCATCACCCCCCTGTGCTAACTCATCACCCCCCCTGTGCTAACTCATCACCCCCCCTGTGCTAACTCATCACCCCCCCCTGTGCTAACTCATCACCCCCCTGTGCTAACTCATCCCCCCCCTGTGCTAACTCATCACCCCCCTGTGCTAACTCATCACCCCCTGTGCTAACTCATCACCCCCCTGTGCTAACTTATCACCCCCCTGTGCTAACTCATCACCCCCCTGTGCTAACTCATCACCCCCCTGTGCTAACTCATCACCCCCTGTGCTAACTCATCACCCCCACTGTGCTAACTCATCACCCCCCTGTGCTAACTCATCACCCCCCCTGTGCTAACTCATCACCCCCTGTGCTAACCCATCACCCCCCCTGTGCTAACTCATCACCCCCCTGTGCTAACTCATCACCCCCCTGTGCTAACTCATCACCCCCCTGTGCTAACTCATCACCCCCCTGTGCTAACCCATCACCCCCCTGTGCTAACCCATCACCCCCCCTGTGCTAACCCATCACCCCCCTGTGCTAACCCATCACCCCCTGTGCTAACCCATCACCCCCCCTGTGCTAACTCATCACCCCCCTGTGCTAACTCATCACCCCCTGTGCTAACCCATCACCCCCCTGTGCTAACTCATCACCCCCTGTGCTAACCCATCACCCCCTGTGCTAATTCATCACCCCCTGTGCTAACTCATCACCCCCCTGTGCTAACTCATCACCCCCTGTGCTAACTCATCACCCCCCTGTGCTAACTCATCACCCCCCTTGTGCTAACTCATCACCCCCCTTGTGCTAACTCATCACCCCCTGTGCTAACTCATCACCCCCTGTGCTAACTCATCACCCCCTGTGCTAACTCATCACCCCCCTGTGCTAACTCATCACCCCCCTGTGCTAACTCATCACCCCCTTGTGCTAACTCATCACCCCCTGTGCTAACTCATCACCCCCTGTGCTAACTCATCACCCCCTGTGCTAACTCATCACCCCCTGTGCTAACTCATCACCCCCCCCTTGTGCTAACTCATCACCCCCCTGTGCTAACTCATCACCCCCTGTGCTAACTCATCACCCCCCTGTGCTAACTCATCACCCCCCTTGTGCTAACTCATCACCCCCCTGTGCTAACTCATCACCCCCCTGTGCTAACTCATCACCCCCCTGTGCTAACTCGTCACCCCCCTGTGCTAACTCGTCACCCCCTGTGCTAACTCATCACCCCCCTGTGCTAACTTATCACCCCCCTGTGCTAACTTATCACCCCCCTGTGCTAACTTATCACCCCCCTGTGCTAACTCATCACCCCCCTGTGCTAACTTATCACCCCCCTGTGCTAACTCATCACCCCCTGTGCTACTCACCCCCTTGTGCTAACTCATCACCCCCCTTGTGCTAACTCATCACCCCCCTGTGCTAACTCATCACCCCCCTTGTGCTAACTCATCACCCCCCTGTGCTAACTCATCACCCCCCTTGTGCTAACTCATCACCCCCCTGTGCTAACTCATCACCCCCCTGTGCTAACTCATCACCCCCCTGTGCTAACTCATCACCCCCCTTGTGCTAACTCATCACCCCCCTTGTGCTAACTCATCACCCCCCTGTGCTAACTCATCACCCCCCTGTGCTAACTCATCACCCCCCTGTGCTAACTCATCACCCCCCTGTGCTAACTCATCACCCCCTGTACTAACTCATCTCCCCCCTTGTGCTAACTCATCACCCCCCTTGTGCTAACTCATCACCCCCCTTGTGCTAACTCATCACCCCCCTGTGCTAACTCATCACCCCCCGGTGCTAACTCATCACCCCCCGTACTAACTCATCACCCCCCTGTGCTAACTCTTCACCCCCCTGTGCTAACTCATCACCCCCCTGTGCTAACTTATCACCCCCCTGTGCTAACTCATCACCCCCTGTGCTAACTCATCACCCCCCTGTGCTAACTCATCACCCCCCTGTGCTAACTCATCACCCCCTGTGCTAACTCATCACCCCCCTGTGCTAACTCATCACCCCCCTGTGCTAACTCATCACCCCCCTGTGCTAACTCATCACCCCCCTGTGCTAACTCATCACCCCCCTGTGCTAACTCATCACCCCCCTGTGCTAACTCATCACCCCCGTGCTAACTCATCACCCCCCTGTGCTAACCCATCACCCCCCTGTGCTAACCCATCACCCCCCTGTGCTAACCCATCACCCCCCTGTGCTAACCCATCACCCCCCTGTGCTAACCCATCACCCCCCTGTGCTAACCCATCACCCCCCTGTGCTAACTCATCACCCCCTGTGCTAACTCATCACCCCCCTGTGCTAACTCATCACCCCCTGTGCTAACCCATCACCCCCCTGTGCTAACTCATCACCCCCCTGTGCTAACTCATCACCCCCTGTGCTAACCCATCACCCCCCTGTGCTAACCCATCACCCCCCTGTGCTAACCCATCACCCCCCTGTGCTAACCCATCACCCCCTGTGCTAACTCATCACCCCCCTGTGCTAACTCATCACCCCCTGTGCTAACCCATCACCCCCCTGTGCTAACTCATCACCCCCTGTGCTAACTCATCACCCCCTGTACTAACTCATCACCCTCCTATTCATCACATATAATAGTCGGCTCATGTGTAAATGATATTTTAATAGTATTTTTATTTCAGGTGAGTGAAGCCGTCGCCTACTGGGGTGTGGAGCAGGGGTGAGTGTTGTCCTGGGGTGTGGAGCAGGGGTGAGTGTTGTCCTGGGGTGTGGAGCAGGGGTGAGTGTTGTCCTGGGGTGTGGAGCAGGGGTGAGTGTTGTCCTGGGGTGTGGAGCAGGGGTGAGTGTGGTCCTGGGGTGTGGAGCAGGGGTGAGTGTTGTCCTGGGGTGTGGAGCAGGGGTGAGTGTTGTTCTGGGGTGTGGAGCAGGGGTGAGTGTTGTCCTGGGGTGTGGAGCAGGGGTGTGAGTGTGGTCCAGGGGTGTGGAACAGGGGTGAGTGTTGTCCTGGGGTGTGGAGCAGGGGTGAGTGTTGTCCTGGGGTGTGGAGCAGGGGTGAGTGTTGTCCTGGGGTGTGGAGCAGGGGTGAATGTTGTCCTGGGGTGTGGAGCAGGGGTGAGTGTTGTCCTGGGGTGTGGAGCAGGGGTGAGTGTGGTCCTGGGGTGTGGAGCAGGGGTGAGTGTTGTCCTGGGGTGTGGAGCAGGGGTGAGTGTTGTCCTGGGGTGTGGAGCAGGGGTGAGTGTTGTCCTGGGGTGTGGAGCAGGGGTGAGTGTTGTCCTGGGGTGTGGAGCAGGGGTGAGTGTTGTCCTGGGGTGTGGAGCAGGGGTGAGTGTGGTCCTGGGGTGTGGAGCAGGGGTGAGTGTGGTCCTGGGGTGTGGAGCAGGGGTGAGTGTTGTCCTGGGGTGTGGAGCAGGGGTGAGTGTTGTCCTGGGGTGTGGAGCAGGGGTGAGTGTTGTCCTGGGGTGTGGTCCTGGGGTGTGGAGCAGGGGTGAGTGCTGTCCTGGGATGTGGAGCAGGGGTGAGTGTTGTCCTGGGGTGTGGTCGTGGGGTGTGGAGCAGGGGTGAGTATGGTCCTGGGGTGTGGAGCAGGGGTGAGTATGGTCCTTGGGTGTGGAGCAGGGGTGAGTGTTGTCCTGGGGTGTGGAGCAGGGGGGTGAGTGTGGTCCTGGGGTGTGGAGCAGGGGGGTGAGTGTGGTCCTGGGGTGTGGAGCAGGGGTGAGTGTGGTCCTGGGGTGTG